GCGGTGCCGGCGGTGCTGCAGGAACCATCATTGACGCCACTCTCCAATTAAAGGCCAATAGTTGCCTCCGCCTCAGCCTCCGAAAGGTGTTAATCGAATTACGACCTCAGCCTCCACGACGACGACGACTCCAAGTTCGGTTACGACTTGGGGTTCAACGCTGCAACGCTGCACTCTCAATGGTGCATGGTGGGGCATGGGGCATGGGGCATGGGGCACGCATCACATCAGCTGCCTCGCTGTAGCCTGTAGCCTGTCGCTGCTGGCATTTCCATATTTTCAAATTTGAATTTTCCATTCCATTCCGACAGACGTCGTCGTCGTCCTCGTCGTCGTCCTCTCATCTTCGTTGGAGTTTTGGTCTTAGACTGGGGGGGGACACTCTGAAGAGCAGACATCGTTTATCAGGCAACACTTTGGTCCCCTCGCCTCCCCCCCTCCGCCTGTACTCCACTCGTAAAGAAAATTACACACATGTGTGGCTTTTCCTGGGGGTTTCGGTTTCGGGATGGGTTTCGGGGTGCGGGGCAATGGAAACTGTCGCTCCGTTTGGCTGGCTGCGTAAAATTTGAAAACACGTTAATGTCTGGCTGCATTTGAGCAATTTTGTGGCGCGTTCTGTTTTGCCAGAAGATATCCCAGAAGGGGGCTAGGGATGGGGCTAGGGATGGGGCTACTCCAGGCCAAGCCTTTTTCGTTGGGTTTTTGCTTTGATTTCATTCCGATACAGGATCTTTGTTCTTTCGAAATTCCAATCTTAATGCCAGACCCTCTTCCTGTGGCACCTCACAGCTGCCTCTGACTGCCAAGGACCTGCCACGTGGACTGCTGCTGCTTCTGCTGCTGCTGCTGTCAACATTGCAATTACGAAACAATTTCGACAGCATGTTGCACCAATTGGAGGTCTGAAAAATAGAGCTCCCGGCTCTGGGCTCTGGGCTTGCCAGTCAGCAAAAGATGGCAGGACCAAAAAACGACAAAAAAATATGTGGAAAATGGTTTTTGGGCATAGAATTATGCAGATGGCAAAACGGAGGATGCAGGCGGAGGCGGAGGCGGCGGAGGCGGCGGAGACGTTTCAGTTCAATGCCAGAGAATCCTCGTTTTCAACACCTTTCGGAAACCTCACGCTTCATTTGCATGTAACCATGACACGACGACACATCGGGAGAGGAGTAGAGACCACAGAAGGAGGAGGAGGAGTATCTGTACTCCAGGTCCTCGTCCTCGTCCTGTGGCGTGTGGTGGTGCGGTGGTGCGGTGTGGGTGAGTGACAACCGCAGAGTAAGACCGCATATATCAGAAATAATAATAACCAGCAATGCAGAGAGCGTCGAGCGCCAAACCTAAACTCAATTGAGTGCCTGGATGCGAGGCTGGGGCTTGTGGGTAGAGGAGGGGGCGGCGGGGGACGGGGGTCTTGGAGTCTACACAATCGAATCATGGCAAATATTTCCTAGATATGTGTGCGTGTGTGGAAAGTGCTAACGACACACAGCTGAATATTTTGTCAACTATAAAACGGGGCTTTCACGAAGGACATTCCTAACGAATGTGTCTGTCTGTCAGGGGCCACAAAGGTGATAAGCAATCGGTGGGGGTCGGGGTGGGTGTGGGGGTGGGGGTGGGGGGTTGCTTTGGATTGAGAGATCTCACTGAAGGGATTGCCAACTGCACTTGACTCTTGGAGAAGTGCCTGTGTGCGGGGCTGTTTGCCAGCAATCATCTAAGAAAACTCGGAATAAAAGACCTCTCGGAAAATTTCCATTTGCCATTGAAGCACTTCCACTCTGTACTCTGTGCTCTCTCTGTGTTCGCTCGTCCTTTGCTTTTGTTCAGTAATTATAATTTAATTTGTTTATTCCGCGCTTTGCCAAACTCAATTTTCACTTTCCCGCCCGACAGCTTGTTGTTTGTCATTCGACTTTTCCATTAGCATAAGATGCCAGCGCGGAGAAAGAGCCAGAGACAGAGAGAGAGAGTGAAATGGTAGCAAATATTAATGCAAATCCAAGCTAGAGGGGGTGGTGGGGGTGGGGGGGTGTGTTGCATGCGCCACATGCATCAAAAGTATATTCCGTACTTTCGCAGGGAGACAAATGACCGACCGCGCGATCATCAACAAGTTCATCAGGAGCGCAACTCGACGCCACTGTGGCAGTGGCAGTCGCTGTGGCAGTGGCAGTGGCAGTGGCAACCATAAACGTTTGTTGATTACCCGCAGCCGCCTGGCCACACACTTTTTTGCGCTGCTCCTCGAGTTGCAAGTTATTTGCATTCGCTGTGGGATCTGTTACACTCCAAGGGCGAACGACTGGCTCATCCTGCGACTTCCGTTTTCCTTTGCTCCCCGCTGCTCCCCGCTGCTCCTGGCAAAAGATGAAAGTGTTTGGCAGCCGTCCCTCGCTGATGGAATAAGGAGCAACGGCAACGGCAACAGCCCCCCCCCCCCCCCCCCCCCCCCCCCTCCAGGAGGACTCCATGCCACTGCTAACTCGCGTTAAGTCCACACCTGCCATCATCATCTTCCATCCAGGGTTTTCCAAGGAAAAGGAAAATGCAGAACGAGAAAGGAAAAATGGAGCTTTCTCTCTCTGTCTCTCTCTTTGCTCACAAAATGGAATAGAATTGCAGATTCATTTCACTCAGCAGCAGAGGGGAAGGGGAAGGGGGGGGGGGGGGTGAGAGGGGCTCACTATAACCTTTTAGCTGCTTTATGTTTGCCTTGGCCAAAGAAAAAAGGTCAAAGGCCAAATCAGTTGCCCAGCCAATTGCCAGGGAAACCGCAGAAAGGAAAGCGACAGAGAGAGAAAGAGAGAGAGAGAGAGAGAGAGAGGCGGACAGGAAAACCCATTCGGAAATCATCTAAGCGGGAGATCATTATCCAGCAAGCCCCCCTCCCAAATTGGTAAAAGAAGTAAACCCCCCTCCAAGTCTCTCCCTCCCCCTCTCTGTCTCTGTCTGGGATCCACTCGGCCACTCTAGTGGCCATAATAATTTGTTGTCAGGGAGAACTCTGCCCTGCAATCCGCTTAAATCAATTAGCATTTGATTTCTGTGCAAATTTACTATAAAACGGCCAGATGTATGCATACAAAAAGTGCTCTGAGGGGTGGCGCCGGGCAGGCCTGCGGCCTGCTGCCTGCTGCCTGCGGCTGGTGTGTGGCAGTGGGGCAACAAGATGCGGCCTAATTAAATATTTATTAAAATTGCTGCAGAGCTGACTGCATCATCAATTGCATTGCATTGCATTGCATCCCCGACAACTGCGACGGGCCCTTCGTTGGCCTTCGCCTCGGCTTCAGCGACCTGCGGATGCTCTACCCGGACAAAAGTGGGAGGAAAAAAACTTTAAATAAACCTTTAATAATCCAACATTTCTTCAACACAATTTGGTAGCCCTTCAGATGATCGAATCTGCATCAATATCTATAATATCTATCTATCTTTGGGGCCCATCGATTAGGAATTAACCCAAGCAGGCCAGCCCAGAGGAACTACTATCTAGGGACTACCATATATGTACATTCCCAAACCTCTAAAGAGCCAAGCTTTGCCATAAATCAATGGATCAAAAGTACGCTTTAATTTTCACAAAATATATATTTTACAGGAATAAGAATGCTGTACTTTGGTTAGGATTGTATACGCTTATCTCTGACCTACAGAGTTTCCATTCCAGATGGCTAAGAGTAGAATCTCAAGGCGTTTCCCCTTCGTTTCCATTCTTTTGAGACATTCCATGATGTCTCCCTTAAACGGAAATATGTATATATATCTATAAATGCGCTTAGACCTAGATCATTTGAAGTTTATTTAAATTGAAAATCAAAGCTGAAAAATGATAACAGATATCCAGGATTTACCTTCAATAAGGATCTGTGCTGTTTTACTCGAATTAGGGCCACAGCCGTTCTATATGATGCCATGAATTTGATCCAAGGCTCTTTGATAATTATCATATTAGGGCGTTTCCTCTCTCTCTCTCTCTTTCTCTCTCGCTTCCTCCCACTCTCTCGGGGCTTGTTTTCGCTTTTCAACCCATGGGGAAATTCGATTTGTCTCTTCTTGAGATTTTTTCCCAACTCATCTGCTACTGCCTCTCTCTGTCCCCCTGTCCCCCCTGCCCCCACGTCCCCCTGTCCCCCTGCCCCCCACGTCCCCCCCCCTTCTGTTGGCCCTCTGGCAAGCTACTTTATCAGCGTGTTCTGCTCCTTCTCCTGGTGCTGCTCCTTCTCCTGCTGCCATTCTTTTGCTGTGTCTTCTGTATCTTTGTCTTGACGCCTTGCCTCGCGGCAAAGTTTGTCGCTGCCACTGCTGCGCCCTGCGTGTCCTGCGTGTCCTGCGTCCTGCGTCCTGGCTCACAATAAACCACTTTACAGCTACTAGTTTTATTTGCTGGCGCTTCCTTTCGTATTTTTCACAAACGAAATTGAATTAAAATTTACATTTTTAATCATTTTTCCGCAGCGCGACTTTAATTCATCTATCTCTTGTCTCTCTTTCTCTCATTCTCTCGGTCTCTCGGTCTCTGCTGTCGCTGCTTCAAATGCAATGCAATTCATTTGTCATGCAGTCTCTCTCTCTCTCTCTCTATCTCTCTCTCTCCCCGTCTCCCTCTCTCTTTGTCTCATTCGCATTTAATTAGTGTGAAAAGCGCAAATTATTCTCCACTTGGCCCGACCCTGCCCCCAGTTTTTGCCAGCGACAGCTACCAAGTCCGTAATTGGCTTAAAGCGTATAATAATTATTGTATGCCGGCATTATAATTATAATTATTATAACCTGTAGGTCGCGGGTCGCGGGTCGCGGGTCGCGGGTGACGGGTCGCCCGTTGCGGGTCGTGTCGATTGACTTTTCTCGGGATTTTCTCGTTTTCCTGATGCAATTCGCTGCGATATTTACACTTTCCTGTCAAGCTTTTTCCCCCTTAGAAGAAATTCGGTTTCGGTTTCGGTTTCAGTCTTTTCAACGCCTTCCAGCCAGTCGCTTCTCTCTCTTTGTGGGGGCCCAAACGTTCCGCCAGGAGCCCAAGGAGTCCAAGGATTGCTGTGTCAAAGTGTTGCCAGAATTTACCATCAGTGGGGTGAGTGCCGGGCCGTGCCGTGCCACACAAAGTGTTGGATCAGAAATGCACATAGTTTTCATCGGAACTTTGAGAATTCTGCATTATTCATATGCCAGACACACACCCACACACCCACACACACACACACCCACACACTGCATATATTTTAAGTGAGATTTCCATTATATTGTTAATTCATTACAAGGTCCCAACCATCGGCTCCGCATTTTGTAACGACTAAAACTTGGCCATTTAGAGCGGAAAAGCTTTGGACAATTCTCTGGAGAATGTCTGCATTGTTTGTCGATACACACACACACACACACTGACACACGGACACACACACAAGTGAAGTTAGTTAATAAATTTAACATTGATGAGCCAAAGATAGAGTGGCAAAGAGAGAAAGAGAGAGGGCGGTAACAGGGCATTGCAAATTGGCCATCAATCGGTGGCTGTGGCACGGGGGGGAGAACGGGGGGAACGGGGGGCCCAGAGTAGGCCTTAACTGAGGAAACTCGGGTAAAACTGAGCAACTGACAAACTGACAGATGGAAGCGAGTGTCTTGCCCCGTTTGCATTGTTGTTCCTGCCGCTGCCGCTGCCGCTGCCGCCGCCAGTCGGGGGCGTCTCTCGTGAGCGCAAATTAAATGCAAATTCAATTAATTTGAAGCAAACAATTTGCTTAAATTAATTAATTGAATGTGAATCTAAAGTGCTTCCAATTTAACGCTGAAGAGCTCCAGTCCCAGTCCCAGTCCCCAGTCCCCAGTCCCCAATCCCCTACGAGCCTCACCCTCGAGCCCCCAAGGGGAGAGGGGCAGCATCTCTCTCTCTCTCTCTCTCTCTCGCTCTCGCTGTGTGTGTGTGTGTGTTTGTGTGTGCGGCATTTATTGAAATTATTGGACTTGGAAAGGGGAGAGAGGGAGAGCAGTCGTACTAGGGCTCTGTGGCCAGCCACAAACTTTGCCAACGCTGCGTATGCGTAATTCTGCATTTGCTTTGCATTTCGGTGGGGTAGGGGGTAGAGGGAAGGGCATCCTGCAACGTGCCAGCGTGCATCGTGAATTAAGCAAACTGTTCACTTCAAAATCAACTCGAAAATAAACACCAGCCGCCAAAATGCAAATACAACTCTGTGTGTGGCTGCGGCGGAGGGGGGGGGGGGGGGGGGCATGTGGTCTAGAGATGGCAACGTGACACGAGGCGGCGTGGGATTTCCTCCACTGTCACCTCAGTCTGATGCAACTCAATCGATTTCCAAGCCATCTGCAGTGGCAAATCCCTTTGCTGTTTAAGAATTCCTGGAAAATTCGGATATGTCCTGGATCTGCTTCTATAAGAAGTGCAGAGTTCGGAGGAAGTTCTTGGTTTTTTCTCACTAAAAAGTCTATTCTTTCCAATGTAGTTATTCCTAGTAGAAGCCCACACATTGGTGATGGCACGAGTTCTTTCTCTTTTCTTTATAGTGTCCTTACACTCATTTTCATGGTTCTACTGCCACAAAAAACAGAGCAGAAATCCCAGAAAATGCTATATTTATAGCCACAATTTAGGCACATATTTCTACCAATTTAATATATATTTTAATAAACAAAAATTCGACTTAAATATATTTAATGTAAATTAAATAATATATTAAATGTATTTTATAGTGTTTTATATTCCAATGAAAAATAATTTCTACTAAATTTATGCTTAAATCAAAGAGAACTTCATTTAGTGCCACATTTCTCTGAGTGTAGGCAGTGGAGCCCCGCCAGAGCTGATCTGGATGGCCAATGGGTTCTCTTGGCTCCTATCGCATCCTGCGTGTCCGCTGCTCCCATCTCTAGGGCGTTCTGTGGCCTGGTAGCCGCAGCAATTTTTTGGACCGTGCTCTCTCTCGCTCTCCCCGAAATGGCTCTTCATCGGTTAACCGGCAACAAGGCAACAACTGTCGAATATGTCGATGACTAACAGCCATTACAGAGTGGCACTACCCCCCCCCCCCCCCCACTCATCCCCTCTGTCCACTAACTGTTTGAATGTTGTTTGCATTTTATATTTGCCAAGTTTTTATCGCTCGTTATTCACGTGGTTCGGATACGTACGGATATTTGGCCCATTGCAGGGTGCAGGGCTGTTTTCCAGGGAGGAGCTGCAGCAGTGCCAAAATTATGCGCTTGATTAATATGCGAATGTGCCACGCCCACGCCCACGCCCCACCACTCGCCCATTTTGGCCCCCATAACTGTTTATTTTGATAGTTTAATGTGTGCGCGAGTGCGTAACTGTTTATTTGCTTTTCGGCCTGGTTTTCTGTTTGGCCAGAACACACCGCTGGCAAATGGCAAACTTGCGCATTGCCAAAGTCAACGAATTGTAAATGATTATAATTTTCGCTTTTCTTTTTTGTTTCTTGTGTTTTTTGTTTTTGTTTTTGTTTATCGAACACGCGGAAATCGACGGCAGCGCCAAAAGAGCAAATTGATCCAACAAATATATACATATATATGTATATGTATGTGTCAGATCATTAAAGAGGGGAAATCATATGGAAATAGCTCTGGGATTGCCATCGGAAATTGTTTGGAATTGGAAAACAGTACAAAATTCGGAATTATATCAGCTCCTTTCGCCGGCTCCAGGCGCATGATTAATCATGGGGGGGTGTGGGGGGGCCCGTGACGAAAGGAAACCCCCCAAACCAGCGACAGATTTTCACTTTCGCCCAGGGAGGAGGCGTGGGGTCCAAAACTGGAACCCAGCCAGAGTCCGAACAACAAAACAAAGCCCCAGCGATAATAAATTTTAAATCATTTGTCATTTGACGCATTTCGGTTAACAAGCAGCCGCCTCAAAGGCCTCAAAGGCCTCAAACCCTTGAGAAGCAGAGACAGAGAGGGAGAAGGAGAGAGAGAGAAGCAAAGACAATGGCATGCCAGCCGATATCCGATAAATATCATTTGTTTTGCCTGGGATCCAGCAGTACCCCGGGCTACGGGCTCCGGACCAGGCCAACAGTTTGCTTGGGTCAGCATTTTTTGGGTCGAGACACGGATAGTTTTTTGTTTCTTTTTGTCTATTGACAAATGCCCGGGCCTGGGCTTTAATTGCCACAAAGCTACTCCTCTAATACTCGTAGATATTATCGCTCCTCTCATTCAATATACATAATTCTTGTGTGAGCTTTGGTCTCCCCCCCACCCCGAAACAACAGAATTTGACCAGATAAGATCAACAGAGAGACGGCGAGAGGGAGAGAGAGGGGGGGCAGAGCGAAGTCCGCAGCGGAATGCAACTGGGAAGAGAACTGGGGAGAACCCCATCTGTCTGTAGATTACCCCCAGCTCTCGGTGATTGTTTCTTTACGATTTATTTAACAACATACACCACGAGAGCAGTGCCTCAGCTCATTGCGCGATAGCAGCAGAAGAGCAGACGAGAGCACACAGAAAAAACACACACTGAAATGTAAAAATCCATCAAGAAACTATTAAAAATTTGGTGGCCTTTGGAGTGAGTCGTAAATAATCTAGCCGTTGCCTCTAATGAAGTGAAAATTGACCCAGAAAATAATTTCAGCTGGGAACCGGGAACCGGGAAATGTGGCAGATGGAATATCGTCTCCCCCATTTGCTTAATAACAAACCCATTTCAATGGCAATCTTTTGGCGACACTCACCTGAAAGTAGAAGAAGGAAGGCGGAAATATCATTAGTACACTGAGAGAAAAGTGGCAAATATATATACTAAATATTGGGCGTATACTTGTTACTAAAGCTCATATTTAAGCGACATATAAAACACTCTTAAATATATAGAATATATTCAGTTCGATCAAAAAAATATATATATTTAATTTATATATGAAATATATTTTTTTTTATTAATTTTTATTAATGTCCAAACAATTTTCCTGCAAATTGAATTTTGTACAAATATCTTTAAAATATTATTAAATATAATACAAGAAGGCAAGGCCCCTGCTCAATCGCTTCGCTCGTGGGCCTACCCCCGGCTCACTCGCCACGCTCGCCCGCGCCGATCAGGGGGTTTTTTCTCTCGATGTAACTGTGGCATATGCACTGCCTTATGGGTTCAACCCAGTTCTTGGCTATATCGTGTCCATCAAATGCTCTTCTAGTGGAAATGGAGACTCTGGAGAATTGTTATGGCGATAGAGAGACGGACAGAGAGAGACGGGAGAGAGAGAGAGTTGAGCAACAGAGCCATAAACAGTTATTACGGCTGTCATGTTAGCCATATGCCAATTAATGCCTGCCTCACGCACCAAAGGGGCAGGAAACCTGAGCCTAAGTTTGGCAACAACAGAAAATGCAGCAAGCAGGCAGCCAGCGACGAGCGAATGCCACACAGGCGACAAATATGGCCAAAATGCCAGACCAAGACTCTGGCATCGGGGTAGCGGGGCAGCGGGGCAGCGGGGAACGGGGCTGCATTTGCAGCTGTGGGGCTCTGGCGATGGCCAAGACTGCGATGACTGCGATGATGACGATGGCAATAAAGGCCGCATCGAAGCAATAATGGCTCATTACGCGGACCGTTGATGAGAGCGAACAGCGGATCCGGGTGGACCCCGACTGCCCATATCGCGGCAATGAAATCGGCTCTTCCTTCCCCCGTACCCCGCACCCCGCACCCCGTTTCCCTTCCCCGTGCCACCGCACTCCTCCGCAGACTTATTAAACGCGCGCATGCGCAGCGGGGGAGAGGCGCTGCTGCTGCAACTGCAACGGCAACGGCAACAGCAACTGCAGCGCAGATCCAGCCAGCGATATGGCCACGACCACGCGGGTTCGCTGGCATTTGGCCAGAAAGCCTCTAACCGAGCCTCTAACTTGGCAATAATATTTATTTATTTGGGTTTTCATTCGGTGGTCTCCCCCCCGTCCCCGTCCCCGGCCAGACACTAGTCAACATTATTGAGGTTCTCCCTAGAGGGGGGACAGCCAAAGATAGCCACAGAGCAGCCACAGAGTGTACTGGTGCTGTAGTTCCCATTCTGGTTTCCA